ACCTGAGGGCTAAGAAGGAGACAAGTTTTGGGAGAGCAGTGTTGACATCCGTCTTCCAGTGACGGCCCTCCTTCCAGTAAGTTAGCGTGCTAGTCACCTTTTTGTGTGCATTCACAGAGGCCACACTGAAGAAAGACAGATTACTTACCTGTAACCATGGTTCTTCAAGTGGACCTCTGTGAATTCACACAATCCCGCCCAGCCTCCCCACTATCCGTCACAGCTTATATCTGGCTCATGCTCACGTACTTGTGGCGGATAAACGGAACTGAGGCTTTGGCAGGTAGAGCATGCGCACTATAGGCAGCCTTAAACTTGTTACTTTTCTATTCAGAGCTTGAGAATATTCCGAGAGGTCCAGTGCAGGCGCTGATTTAACCCTTTTGTGTGAATTCACAGAGGTCCACTTGAAGAACCATGGTTACAGGTAAGTAACCTGTCTGTTCTAAGTCTATGACTAAATCCACTGAAAACCCCCAAAGACTAATTCAGAAATGAGTTTAGGGAGCACCCCCACCCACCTCTTCCTGAAGCTGTTCGACCTGAACCAACTCCTCCTTCTGCCTCTCCAGCCTTTCCTCAGCCTCCTGCAAGGCCCAAGCCAGGCTCAGATCTGTTGGGAAGTTTTTCTCCTCTTCAGCACTCTACTTTGCCATCCTCTGGCTCCAGGTCTTCTCTCTCCCACCCTCACCTCTTGGATTAGGGTTTTCTTCAGGGCCTGTTTACTGCCATGGTTCCCACAGCTTCAGCTTCAGATCAACCCGATGCTGTTCAAAAAGCTTCATCGTCAACATCTTCAACACCAACAGTGCCCCCAAAGCTTCGGCCTCAACCATCTGCTTCTCTGGGAGTCCTTCCTTGACTTTAAACTTTGGATTCATGTGACACGGGGCTGCAATTAACTTCTCTTGGAGCTCCTCTTCAGTTTCCACTTTTGGACCCATCAGCCGTGAATCCACTCAGACTCTATTCAGCCTGTCCTACTGACAGTCAACATAGCTTTCTCAGACACCCTGTTCCCAGGTGCCTCTGCAAGAGCAGCCAGGAGTCTCCCAACTGCCTTTCACTACATTCCTGTGCACTATTTTGAGGGGATGCATGTTGGAGTCACAAACTTAGCAGGCTGATGGGCTTTGTGATGATCACCAGATAATTAGGATAGCAAACAGTCTCTTAGAGATAGAGGTTAAAGAAGTCAGCCACACACACAGGGATGTCTGCCAACAGTGGGCCGCTAGTAGAAGAGGCAGAATAACACCGAGTGGGTTGCCAGTGAATTCTGCCAATGCATTCTGCCCTGCCCCCAGCAGGACTGTGCTTTTATTAACATTACAAACTCACAGATAGTGAACAGTATACAGATAGGTTACAGAGTTCAGATAGGACAATGGTTACATCATGCCTTTAGGATTGGCCTAGGGAAAGGCTCTATGCAAGCTCTCTAGCAACTATAAGAAAGAAGAAGAATGGTGGGCAGCCATGCCCCTCAGAAGCAGCTGTGACGTCATCCAGGAGGGTTTGCCCTCTACTGTAGATTAAGCCTAAAGTTTAGCAACCTTGGGAATGGCACCCCCACAGATGCATGTCACCATTCTGCCTTCCATACCAGCTCCAACACTATAGGGAACCCTGAAGGTGCCAGGCTATGCCCAACAGCCACCAATGGCTACTGGTCACACCCTCAGTTTTGGCACTTTTCCTAACCTCTCAGACATCAGATTCAATGTATGCAGTTTCTCAAACCTGGCCTGTGCAACAACACCTTGCTCCACCCTCAGTCCACTTGGGCTCCATCAACCTCAAAGCATAGTCAAAAGAATTGGAGACATGGGCACTCTGCAGGCCTGACTCAATCTAAGCATGCACATTTTTCTGTTCCAGATATCACCACTCCCATTCTGCGGCATTGGATCCATCCATTTTTGATCCTAGCTTCCATCAGTGAGACACTGTCCACTTGTACCAAGTCCTCCTGTCGTATTCAATGCCTCTCGGATCCAGTCAACAACAGTGGGTCCCATCTCATCAACAATACCAACTTGCTTTGTCTGTCACCGGATTCAATCTCCACCTTTACTATCAATAGCCCCCCCTACCCTGGCCATTGACATTCAATATCAATGCCCTCCCCCTACCCTGACAAGGGACGTGGTGGCGCTGCGCGTTAAACTGCAGAAGCTTCTGTGCTGCAAGGTCAGAAGACCAGCAGTCACAAGATCGAATCTACATGATGGAGTGAGCTCCTGTCGCTTGTCCCAGCTCCTGTTAACCTAGCAGTTTGAAAGCATGTAAAAATGCGAGAAGATAAATAGGTACCACCACGGTGGAAAGGTAACGGCATTCCGTGTCTAGTCACGCTGGCCACGTGACTACGGAAACTGTCTACAGATGAACGCTGGCTCTACAGCTTGGAAATCGGGATGAGCAATGCCCCCTATAGTCGGACACAACTAGACTAAATGTCAAGGGGAACATTTACCTTTACCTACCCTGGCCACCCTCAGATCCAATCTTCACTATCAGCCACCATGCTTGGAGATGCAGTTAATTCAGTCATCCCAACAGCAGGGGCTTCTGCTGCAGCCCCTTGTGTCACATCAACCATCAGCTTCTCCATCTGCTTCAGCTTCATCCTCTTTCTCCCCATTGGAATCTAAGCTTCATTCAGCTGTTACCACTATGCCTAAATTGGAGGTGGGTGACACTAATCCACCATCTCTTTCCAAGAATACTGCCTACTCTGATTTTGTGCTCCTCATGGCTGCTTCACTTATTGTATCTCTGCACAGACTCTACCCAGAACACTTGAATCATCTGTATGATCAAATCACCTCTGATTCTTCCTCTTCTTTTCTCTGCTAGCTCTAGCAAAGGATGCTTGGAAGAAATCAGTTTCTTTAGTTCCTACTGCCAGGAGAGTTGAGAACTTTTACAGGGTACATGATGAAAGACCAACCTTTCTTCTGAAACATCCTTGTCCTAATTCTGTAATCATTGCTACTTCCCAAATTTCACCAAAGCGTAAGCAGACGCCGTCTCCACTGAGCAAAGATGGTGGCTGGTGGCTGGGAGGCACCTTTATTCCACTCACTCATTAGCAGTTTGTGTCATCAAAAAATTCTGTATGATGACCTGGAAACTGTCATCCCATTACTCCGCCATGGAGATTGGTTTGCGGTACTATAGCTGAGGCTCCAGTACTTTGGCCATCTCATGAGAAGACTCCTTGGAAAAGACTTTGATGTTGGGAAAGTGTGAAGGCAAGAGGAGAAGGGGACGACCGAGGATGAGATGGTTGGACAGTGTCATCGAAGCAACCAATATGAATTTGACACAACTCCGGGAGGCGGTGGAAGATAGGAGGGCCTGGCGTGCTCTGGTCCATGGGGTCACGAAGAGTCGGACACGACTAAACGACTGAACAAACAAAAAACTATATCTCAAGGATGTCTATGTTCATATCTCCATCAGGCAAGACCACCACCATTTCCTTTGGTTTGCCACTGGCCACTCCAGATTTCTACTTGCAGTTACCTCTTAGTTTAATTCTATGTTAATCAAGCGCTATCTACTGACTCAAGCCATTTATATAGTAAATCCCACCGTTCAGTTGTCGTTTGTACTGGACAGTCTTTCAACACTTCTGATAGTGTATCCATCTCTGCTGCTTTCCCAAATCTTCTCCAAGAGCTCCTCTTGCTTTGGTATCTCTGATTTCTTCCAATTCTTAGCATAAAGAATTCTGGCAGCAGTAACTATATCTATAACTAGACAACTCTTTGTCTTATCTATCTTATCTGGTATAATATTGAATAAAAATAATTCTGGGTTTAGTGGAATGTTATAGAGCAGTATTTTTTGTAACGAAGTATGTACTGCTATCCAGTACTGTTTCGCTTCTTTACAAGTCCACCACATATGATAAAAGCTTCCTTCTTGTGCTTTACACTTCCAACACATGTTGGACACCTCTGTATAAATCTTTGACAGTTTTTTCAGAGTCATATATCACTATAAAACATCTTATATATGTTCTCCTTAAAATTTACTGATTTTGTGAGCTTTATATTATTTTTTCATATTTGCAACCAATGATCAATATCAATATTACGTCCTATATTTTGTGCCCACCTAATCATATGTTCTTTTACGTACAATCTCATCTTGCAATTTAGTTTCAAGCAGATAATCATACATTTTCTTAATTATTAATGATTAATTATATAGGCCTCTGTAGGTGATACCCAGCTTGGTATTTTTTTTAGTATATCTGCTGTATGATCTTTTTCCAAGTTCCTAATAGGCTCTTCTTATCATGTGTGTATTGAAACTTTTTTTACCCTTTATCTTTTTGGTACCTTAAAAAAGCATTCCAGCCTAATTATAGATCATGTCATTCCATAATGAGAATTATTATTAGAATTTTGAATGTTGGTATTTAAAAAAAATGGGAAAAATGCAAAAGTTACACTAGAAGTCTCCCTCAAAATAGAATTATCTATTTTTATGAAGAGCAGTGGAACTGAGCAAAAAAAGGGAATGATATAATGAAGTTTTGGAAGTAGTAATTAATGATATTTTGACATGTGATACAAGTTTTAAAAGGGATTATTAAAGAAGAATAAATTTGTTGATATATGGCAAGATTTTTTGGACTTTGTAGTATTGAAAAGGGAAGGCTGATTGTATGCAAACAAGAGATAAGGTCTTTTTGGAAGGGGCATGGGGCATTTTAATAATTGGTTTGTGAAGGAAATATATCTCCATTAGTCCCTGTGATGGGTGCACAAACTTAAATTATGTTTGTTGAGTTGTTGTGAGTTATGTGTATTTTTTTGTTTCATATTGCTTATTATGTTAGTATATTTCTATCTAATTTGCTTTATTTCTCTTGCAAAAAATAAAACATAAAGACAATAAAGAGAAAGAAAAGAAAATTTCATTTACAGGAATTGACACTTTGCTGAAATTACAAAACATTAATTTTTCTTTATTTTCAGGCGAATACTTCATAGAGATTTGAAAGCTAAGAATATATTTTTGAAAAATAATGTTGTTAAAATTGGTAAGATCCCCTATCTTTTCTTCCTATGATTGTATTCTTCTGTTTAAGATTAATTTACACTGTTACTCAGAATTATAATATATTACAGGTGCTCCAGGGAGCTATATGAAATGTAAAGTACAGGCTCTAATTATTTTCTAGTCATCCATGGAGTAACAGAAAAAGGGGTCCTAAGGCAGGTAGATGTCAGAGGGGCCCTGCTGGGTTGTAGGAGCTAGTATACGTCTGGTGTTTGAACTTGGCTGAGAAGAAAGATACTATGGAGCAGACAGAGTTGTCCTCTCCTCATGTGTACCTCTCTTTTGAGTTTAAATATGGACTCTCACCTACATTTCCCTTTGTGGTCATCTTTTTTTAAATAATAATTTTATCTAGTTATTATTTGTTACATTTATATCCTATCTTTTCTTTAGTGAGCACAAGGCGGGGTACATGGTTCTTTACTTTCCCGCAACAACCTATGATGTATATTGACTGACCCAAGGTCATGCAGTGAGTTTCATGGTCTGTTCTTCCTAGCATTTGACCTCAGTACTAAGAATCATCCTTGTCCTCATCCTAGAACTGGAGAGCTGGAATGGAACCTATGGATCATTGAGTCCCATCCCTCTCAAGGAGGCCCAGTGGGGAATCAAACACCCAATGTCTGGCTCGTAGCCAGATACCTAAACCACTGAGCTATCCAGCAGTTAATAGCAACTTGCATTGATGTTTTAAAATAATTTCTTCTTGTGTAGTTCAATGTGTGCAGTTTGTTTTCTATATCGTCGGTCCAACTGGAAGTGGCAAGCCCTAGTTTGTGTATGTGTGCGCATGCTCACATACTAATGCTACTCCTATAATTTCTCATCCTACTGTGTGCGGTTGAACAAAACACATTCATGACAGGAGACTCAGGATGCACCTATATGGCCAAATTATCTTGGCCTGGAACAGGCTGGATTGGGCTAAACAGAGTCACTTTGAGGTGTGGTATGTAGAGATAGGCATAAATCAAACCATGAACCAGAAAAACGAATGAACCAGGATGATTTGTGGTTCAGTTCATGATCTGGTTTGGGGATCCTGTTTTGCTGAAGCAGAATGAAGCACTGAACTTTTTTCCTCTTAGTACATCGTTCTGCTTTGGCAAAATAGGGTGCCTGCCCACCCCCTTCCCACTGCCCCGTTGCCTCCCTACCTTCTCCTGCCGCCACCACCCTACTCAGAGGCAGCAGGCCACCTTCCTTGCCAGGAGCTGGGCCCACTGCCTTTGAGCATGCATCCACCTATCAGTTGTTTATGATTGGTTTCATTCTGGGATTAACCCTTAATTGGGACAAATGCCAGCTATGACAAACATAGGCTTCTCAACTTTGCTGAGGAGGTCTATACAGTATGTCTCTGCTTTCAGGATCCCAAACTTTTTGAAGAGACTCAAGATGCAGCAGAAGTGTTCTTCAGTAGAAAATATGCCAGAGACAGAGAGAGCTATCCCCCTGCTCACCCTTTAAAATTAAACTTTTCTTGATCACCTGGATAGGGCTATCTCCATTTCTGAAACCACATATGCCTGGCTTTAACACAGATTTATCCCTTGGGTGAAACACATGATTTCCTGTGTTGGGATACAGCAGTCACATAGAGAAGATAGCCAGCTCTATTAGTCAAAATACTAGGTAAGACTCCTAGTGTGAGACAAATTAAGTGTATTACCTAGTGGCTGAAGGGATAGGAATCCTTAGTGTAGAATTCTTCTCTAGGTAGTAGAAATCATTGCAGTGGATTCAGCTTAAATGCAAGAAATAAAATGGCACCATCAAAACAATAATATTGAGCTTGTTTTTTTCATCCACCCATTTAACTTGAGTGGTCAACTATTTAAATTATCAAATATTTTTTCAAGGAGACTTTGGAGTTTCTCGTCTCTTGATGGGTTCCTGTGACTTAGCAACTACTTTTACTGGGACACCTTTCTACATGAGCCCGGAGGCACTGCAACACCAGGGCTATGACACAAAATCAGATATTTGGTGAGCAATTGTAATTCATTCTCTCTTTTTCATGTAATCATAATGATAACACTTAAAAAACTCATTGGTTTGTAGGTCACTTTCTATTTGTTTATGTTATTTACTTTATCTTTCCTTTGGGGGGAAATGCAATCATTTGAACAAATATGCTCCTATGTTGCTGGAATATTTCTAACAGAAGATCAGACCTAGGCAAGGACATACACTTCACTACGAATTTGGTAATCTGGAATTTATATTGATTACATTCATTACCCTTTTACAGTTTTTTTAGTACTAACAGGAACCAACTTCAAATGTAACTATTTTTTGACAGTAAGCTATGTTTTATTGTAAGGTGAGCACTTCCAGAGGCCATATGTGCTGTACATTTGAGGACTGCACCCTATACTGTTCCCCCAGCCTCAAGTGGTCTGTTCTGTTTGTTCTTTCCTCCCTTCACTCCCTCCCTCCTCTTCCTCCTCTTCCACTGAAAACATCCCATCAGACCGCTTATGGCAAAAACATGTTATTTTATTTTCCATTTTAGGGGATTATAGTGTATGTGTGTGTGGGGGGGTCTAAAATATGACAAACTTGCTCCCACATCCCCTAGAGGCCACAATGATTTTGAGAAAAACTCTTTAAAAATAATTTTGAGGGTAGTTGTGGGATGCTGGAGTATCCAGAAGTTCTGATATGCTGCAGGAAGGCTACACTTCATCATCCTCTGTTTGATTGGCTTGAAAGTGAGGAATATATTTCCAGATGTTTGCTCTTTTTTTTTTATCTGCTTACATGCCCAGATTCATCACCTATATCCTGACTTGTTTCCCTTGACATCCAAAGCCGGAAAACTGTGATTACAGCACTGTTTATAAACCAGGATATAATAATCTAGTCATTCACTAAGCTATTCTGCAATTCAGTGAAATCAGGTTCTGATTTCATAATTCCTACATAAAAGGAGACTGCATCGAAATACTGTAGTGTGGGTTCTAGTTATTCATCTTCCAGAACTATTCATTTCATCCTACCATTTTCCAAATAGACACAGCATTTTTTTACTATTAAGCATGGTTTTTCCTCACTGGGCTGCATTTCCCTTCCTGGGTTCTTTTGTGCCTCTGGAAGCTTCAGATTTCCTTTGTTACATTTGGTCCAAGTGCAACACTCACCATGTTTAATTAATGTCCATACACTTGACCTTTGCATGGGCTGAATTAAATTAGCATGCTGGGTATGAAGGATTTATGACTTATGGGTATACAATGCTGCTGTTCTAGCATTGCACTCACGAGCACCAATAATCTATCCAGAGATGTGTTCTTCTAATGTGATTGGTGCCATGTCTATATTGGGCCTTATTGCTCTGGCATTTTAGGAGGACAGGCAAAACAGCAGTGGCAGCAGAGGAACTAGGTGAACATCAGTTGTCATATGTCTCCTCATTTGTTCTTGTACTTTTGTCCAGAATTGACCATACCCCAGTTCACATATCTTCTGTGTAGCTGGAGTGGAACCCACTCTGTATGTAAAGATTAGGTGGAGTCAACTCCTTGTGTTCCTTCCTTTTGGTTGCTTTAGAAACTGAGTTATGAGCATCTAACTTTTTCTAAATTTAACACTTCTTAAAATGATATATTTATTTTACTTTATATAACAGCCGCAGAAGGAGTATAAGTGCAATATAGGGTTTTTGTCATTGTTCCTCACAGAACAAAAGCCTTTTTCATGGATGATGCCTCAGGTCTTTCTCTTGAAAATACACTGGTTCCAAGATATACTCTTGGGTGAAATGGTGTGGCTGCCTGTACAGTATACACACCAATAACCTCAACTCCTTTCCCTTGATAACGCTTTATATCACTATGTTGAAGTTAAAAGAAAAGTAAAGAGCTCTGTGCTATGCATTCTTGTCCTTGAATAGGAATGGATTTTATGTCAGTCTTCTTTGTTCCTTGCTGTACGGGACTATCAGAAAACACTGAATGGACTAAAATATTGAATGGTTTCAAAAATGTGGGAGAAACTTGAACAGAAAGCATGAATGTGAAGATACACTTGCAAACAGGCTTCATGTATGGAAAGATGTATATTTTAGATCCCAGCCACAGTACTCTTGTGCTTAGGAGTAAAGATCGATGTAGCCATTCCAAAGAAGCCACTGCAATTGGTTCACTTGGTTTTGCCATTTGCAAGACAGACCTTCAAACTGTCATGTCAAATGCTAGCTTCAAAAAACTAGTTTCAGATCTGAAAAGTCCTTTACAAGATCCCTGGAGCAATCAGTGTAGCACCTCTGTGGGTATCATGGAAAATCTAAAATGGTGAGTGGATTCCAGGCCCAAGTGTGCAGAAAATTTGTTTTGGTTGACAGCACCTGGAATCCCCAAGCACACATGATTATTGGGAATTGCCATCCAGAAAAGTAAAGTTTCCAGGCTCTGCTCTTGGGCCAGGGAAGTGGCAGTATCTTTTGGCGTAAGCCAGCTGATGGCAGATTTGTAGGTGTATTTGTTTTATTTTTCTCCATAAATTGAATGTGGAAAGGAAAAGGGAAAACTACCATGAATGAGGTCATGGCACTTCCAGAGAGGTCTGCTGCTCCATCAAGTATTATATAAGGTCTGTTTTCATCCTACTGAAATGTCCAGCACTCCCACAAGTTGATAAAACTGTACTTCTACTTCTGTATCACTACCATTATGTATTTTAAATCCCACATGAAGGGAAAAACAGGATTTGCCAGGCTCAATAAATGCTAGGCGGTTCTCTAATACAGAGGAAGTGTATTTCATTTTCAGATGAAGGGGAGTTGTTTTTCTTATCAACAAGTATAAAAGTGCAACAACTCTAAGCAATCACCAGATACTGATTTTTTTTCTGGAGAAATTTTTAATGAAAGACTCGAATGGATTGTCTGTTTGTACTGTATACATGCATTCATTCATTCCAGGTCACTTGGATGCATTTTGTATGAGATGTGCTGTTTGGATCATGCATTTAGTGGTCACAATTTTTTGTCCATCGTACTCAAAATTGTGGAGGATGAAACACCCTCTCTTCCAGACACATATCCAGGAGAACTTGATGCAGTACTAAACTGGTGGGTATTATTTGTTAATTCTTTGCTGGTTTTACCCTCATTGATTTGCAGTAGTATGAGAACTGATTTCTTTTATTTCATTAATATTTCAGTATGCTGAGCAAGGATCCATCACGGAGGCCAGCAGCAGCAGAGATTCTAAGAATTCCATGGATACATGATCAATTGCAGGTATTTGATATAATGCAACAACAGATGTATTAGGTTGGAATGTGTCCACGATAGAGCACTTAAGATGGTAAAGGGTCTGGAAATCAACTCCTGTGAGAAGCAATTGAGGGATGTGTTCATGTTTAGCCTTGAGCAGTGGTTCCTAGCCTTTTGGTTCCCAGATGTTCGTGGAGTGCAACTCCCAAAAATCCTCACCAGGAAAGCTAGTGGTGAAGGCTTCTAGGAATTTTAGTCCAAGACAGGTGGGAGACCAAGGTTGAGAATCACTGGCGTACAGAATGGAAGGCTGAGAAGGAGATGTGATAATGGCTTTCAAGAAGCTGAAGAGCTGTCATATGAAAAATAGACCAAGCATGTTTTCTGTGGCTTTAGGAGGAAGGACACAAACCAATATGAGAAATGACTGCCTGATGGTAAGAACTGTTGGACAGATGGAAGACAGTGGACTTTCTCGCATCAGAGATTTTTAAACAGAGGTTGAAAGACCATCTGTTGGGGATGTTTTAGCTGTGGATTTCTGAATTTCCAGGAGTTTGGATTGGATTACTTTTTCGGTGCCTTCCAGCTATACAATGTTTTTGTTCTCTTCTATCAAAACAGTATTCTTCAAAGCATGGATTCAAAAAAAGAAAATCATGTCTCCTGTTTGTCTCTTGTACCATTGCTCCTATTGTGCCCCTCTTCCCTATCTCCCACAACCTGTTATGTCCTTCTGATGTGGAGACAATAATCATTTATTGATTACAAAGGAAGAAATGGGGGGGAAGACACAGATGAGTGCCTCTTTCATTGAGTGTAATGGCCAACCTAGCTGGAGTAGACTGATGCAGTGGGGTAGAATCAAAAAGACAGAATGCATACAATCCAGTCCTCTGCTCAATGCAAGATTTGTAACATGAGATACCATCACAGCATATATTTTCTTTAAAAATGGGAAAAATCATGAAACACTTTAGTTAGTCTGGTACAAAATAAACAGTGACAATTGGTGTTGCTTTGTTTCCTCTTGTAGAGTATGAAGTGTAAATTCGCAAATATAAATGTGAAGGACCAGGTGGTTAATTCTCAAGAAGAGGCTGCTCATATAATGAGTGCTGTGTGAGTATAGAATTACCTTAATGTTAGTGAAACAGAAAAGCAAGTGATGAAGGAGAGAAAAAATCTATTCCATGCATGCAGTTTCATCCTTCAATTCATAAATGTATTTTCTATTGTTCCTCAAAGGTGTTTTTAAATGCTTGCAATAATTAACAACACAATTCAATGATGAGATATTGTTTGATTTCCAATAACAGTAAGGATAACTGTTGCCATTATTACTTATACCAACATAAATAGCATACTCAGTTTTACATAAGACATGTGTATTAAGTTGATTTAATTTGAAGGGTACCAAAAGACAATGGTTTAGCAGAAATTTTAAAGCTGGTAATTAATTTCTTATCCTTTTTATTTTCAGATGGATCAGGCATTCCACTTCTTTTCTATCCTTAGACTGCAGTTAGTGTAGCTTGATTCCATTAATCAGCAGTTGCTGCATTACACTGCTGGGGAAATTATTTCCTTTGCTGTCTTCTTGCTTGCTGTAAGCAATATTTCTTCTGCCTACACATAGCCAGAAATCAGTAAAGATGCAAAGTGTTAGTTACTTTAGACATCTCAATCTTTATATCTCTCTGAATTTCAAGAACATGAATGCCAAAGATGGTGTCAATTTGTTTGTTCACCACTTAGAGAGTAGGCCAGTTCAGCCAGTAGGCAGAGTGAGAGGACTTGCTCACGCAGCCGAATGTAGGTGTGTCATGAAAAAGAAGCAGATAATTAACTGGTTAATTATTTTTGTTAATATTTTTGAAAGTGTTTTTATTGCATTTTGACTACTAGAGACAGGGAAAGGAGCTGAGATGTTTTGCTTCAGGTTAAGTACCTTGCCTGGCTTTGAATGCTATGTATTTGAATGTCTGGGGAGGGTATTTTTCCCTCTGTTTCAGGCAGCAGAATACTTGTTCTGGTTAGAGCAGTGGTCCCCAACTTTGGGCCTCCAGATGTTCTTGGACTACAGCTCCCAGAAGCCCTCACCACCACCTCTGCTAGCCAGGATTTCTGGGAGTTGAAGTCCAAGAACATCTGGAGGCCCAAGGTTGGGGACCACTGGGTTAGAGAGCAAATAGGTAGAGATGAGATACCACACAGCAGGTTAGTTATCTTCTGCTGTGTCGTCGCAGCCAGCAATGTTTGCTTCCTTTCTCCTCCCATACAATCTGCAGTGAGTTATTGGATCCTATATGCAGCAGCATGATTAAAGAACTGACGGGGACAACAAAAATAGTGTATAAGAGAACTGGGAAAATAGCTCTTCTGTTTTTGTCAAAGGGCCCTCTCTCGTCCCAAACATTTTAAAAGACTACTGCAGCTCCCTTTGGATCAAAACCTAATATTTATTCTCAGCACTTCTTAATTATTCTTCCATAAAGAGTTCCCACATTTTTCGTTCTAATTCCTTATGTTAAAGGAAATCTTTCAGAACCAGGATCTGCAAAATCTTCAACAAATTTATAATAAATCTAGGTACCTAAATCTAGGTAATAATTACCTAGAGCTCATTGATTTGTGTGTCTTCATGATTTAGAAAAGGAAGTTTCAATGTAGTAATCATAGAGTTGTGAGGGGACCTTGTAGGTCACCTAGTCAAGCCCTCACCTTGATATACAAAATCCAGTGGCAGTCTATGCCCTGTCTAGTCTCTGCTTGAAGACTGTCACTGAGCAGGAGGCCATCCATTGCTAGAAGGTTCTTATCACTTACACCCAAAATGTAATCTCATTTTGATGCAGCAGGAAACAGTTTTTTGCAATCTTCTGTGTGACAGCTATTTATTATTTGATCAGTGCTTCTATAGCCCATGTCAGTGTTCTATGGGTGGCACATGTTCAGTTTCTTCAGTCTTTCTTTGCAATACTTGTTTTCCATATTATTCATGTACATCTTTATTCTCTTCTAAATCAGTTCCAAATTGTCAGTTCAGTGGTGCCCCACTTGACGATTACCTTGTTAGACAAGGAAATCACTTAACGATGTGTTTTTTGCGATCGCAAAATGATGTTTAGATAGGGAAAATTCGCTTTACGATGATCAGTTCCCTGTTTCAGGAACCGATTTTTCGCTTTACGATGATCAGAACACAGCTGACTATCGGGTTTCAAAATGGCCGCCCGCTATTTAAAATGGCTCCCCGCTGTGTTTAGGAAGGCTTTTTCGCAAGACAGCCACCAGAAAATGGCCACCCTATGGAGGATCTTCACTGGACGCTGAGGTATTTCGCCCATGGGAATACATTGAACCAGTTTTCAATGCATTTCAATGGGCTTTTTCATTTCACTTGATGAGGATTTCGTTCTACAGCGATTTTGCTGGAACGGATTATCCTCAGCAAGCGAGACACCACTTTATTTATTTATTTATTTATTTATTTATT